TTTATATGACTTATGAAAGGGGAAAAAACAGGAACGACAGTAAAGTTAATGTAATATATTCTCCATTCACCTCATTTTTGGGTAGTAAATAAATTTAAATTTAAATAAAGTAAATAAAAATTATTAAACAATTAGTTATTATATTACTGTTAACAAACACAACTGCTTAGTTGCCCTAGTAAGAAAAATAAGAAAAAAAAATTCCCTTAAGAAATAAAAAGAACTCATTTTACCCCACAAGGGAAAAAATGCAATTTTTTCCCTCAGTAAGCAAAAAAAAAAAAAATGACTTCGAGGGCTACACAGACTTCATCTTTAGACATCAAGGGAGACGGAGCTCAAAAATAGCCTTCGAGGTATCAGAGCAAATTTATATATAGACCATTCCTGGTTTTTGCCCTCCGGTGGCAGTCTGGAGAACACAGACCTGGAGTACCTTTGATGTCGGGGTCATGGCCCTTCCCTTTCCGGCGTGGTATTTCTGTACACAGGAGGTCAGAGAGTCTCTGTGTGTTTCTTGGTGAGTTGTTGTTTACTTGTTTGGGGGTGCTGGTGGTTTGTTGGTGTTTGTTGATGTTGCAGAATGGTTTCTTGGTGTTGTTTGTTGTTGTTGCTTCCTCCTTGTGAGGTGTTGCTGCACTTTAGATATGTGTTACTTCTGTCTGGTGAGATGTTTCTTCTGACTGGTGAGGTGTTTCTTATTCCTGGCGAGGAAACACTAATCCAACTGTGCCCAGACATCACCATGTATACCCCACTACATGTATATATATATATATGTATATATATATATATATATATATATATATATATATATATATATATATATATATATATATATATATATATATGTATATATACATGCCAGTTGCTGGAAGGCTTCTGTGCTGGCTAGGGTTCGAGTCTCCTGGTGGGAAAGTGTTCTAAAGTTATATATATATATATATATATATATATATATATATATATATATATATATATATATATATATATATATATATATATATATATATATATATATATATGCATATAAGCATATGCATATAAATCGACACATTTCTTAAAATTTGATTCGGACACGAAGTCGTGCTCCTTAAAAAAAACACGGTGTTTTCAGTTCCATTGCATGCAACATAATCCAATCTTCCCCCGTCTGGTTCGACCTTTCCTGGGCCTCTTCATCTTTGATCTTCTTGTCAACACATCCTCCTTACGACGTGCGAAGATATATATATATATATATATATATATATATATATATATATATATATATATATATATATATATATATATATATATATATATATATATATATATATATATATATATATATATATATATATATATATATATATATATATATATATATATATATATATATATTTTGGTAGCGGTCTTTCCTGTAGACATATATTATTAAATATGACCGAAAAAGTAAGATTAATAATTCTAACCGATTCTAACCGAGGTTTCCACACTGCAGTCTACATTAAGGAAACGAACATAGGAATGTGCCTAAATGCCAACAGCGACTGCCCAGACAGGTACAAGAGGAGTGTTGTTAACGCATATGTCGTCCGTGCTCTCAGCCACAGCTCAGAATGGAAGCAAGTCGACGAAGAACTCTGTAGGGTAAGGCAGGTCCTAGTCAACAACGGCTTCTCCAATGGTTTCGTCGAAGACATCATAAGAAGGAAAGTGAAAAGCCATGCAACCTCTGAAGAGACAACTAACACAACACCTATACCCCCTATTAGACTATTTTACAGGAACTTCTTTTCCACAGCTCATAAAACGGAGGAAAGGGTCCTGAAAGATATTGTTAATAGAAACGTTATCCCTACAGACAAAAATCAGAGGATACAACTGACGATTTACTATAAAACCAGAAAAACGGCCAGCCTACTCATGAGAAACTCTCCAGACACAAAGCAAAACGCTTTAAAAGAGACCAACGTCGTCTATGCCTTCAAATGCCCTCTTGGGGACTGTAAGCTCCAAAAAACCCAGTATATAGGCAAGACAACAACATCTCTTTCTAGGCGTTTAACGATGCATAAGCAACAGGGCTCCATTAAGGAACATATAATCTCTTCCCACAACCAAACCATCGCCAGAGAAATCCTAGTAAACAACACAGAAATCATCGATAGATACAGCGATAGCAGACGGCTTGACGTTTGCGAGGCACTACACATTAAGAAGTCAACACCAGCAATCAACAGCCAATTAATGCACAACTATATTCTACCCACCTCAAGACTCCGCTCCAATATAGAAGCATAAAGAAATATGGACCAATAGGCTTTCTACAATCACTTCCATTCAATACCCATTGTTTCGTGTTCTGTCTTGTGTTGATGAATTTAATACCCTATTAATACCACCTCACCCCATCCACCTCACTCAAATGTAGATATAAACAAATCGGAGATGTGTAAGTTCTATTCAGTTGTGTATGTGTAAACTAAAGTCTTTGAAAATGTAATAAGTTTTACGAAACGCGCTTAAGTGTCGCGTCAGACTAGAAATAAAAATGAATTTTGGAGAATTGATTTTTGAATTACCACCAGCAGTGAAAAGAAATGTACGAAAGATTGAGAAAATTCGTGTTAGAATTATTAATCTTACTTTTTCGGTCATATATGTCGTACCTAGTAGCCAGAACGCACTTCTCAGCCTACTATGCAAGGCCCGATTTGCCTAATAAGCCAAGTTTTCATGAATTAATGTTTTTTCGGCTACCTAACCTACCTAACCAAACCTAACCTAACTTTTTCGGCTACCTAACCAAATCTAACCTATAAAGATAGGTTAGGTAGGGTTGGTTAGGTTCGGTCATATATCTACGTTAATTTTAACTCCAATAAAAAAAAATTGACCTCATTCATATTGAAATGGGTAGCTTTATCATTCCATAAGAAAAAATTTAGAGAAAATATATTAATTCAGGAAAACTTTGCTTATTAGGCAAATCGGGCCTTGCATAGTAGGCTGAGAAGTGCGTTCTGGCTACTAGTACGACATATATATATATATATATATATATATATATATATATATATATATATATATATGTCGTACCTAATAGCCAGAACGCACTTCTCAGCCTACTATTCAAGGCCTGATTTGCCTAATAAGCCAAGTTTTCATGAATTAATGTTTTTTCGTCTACCTAACCTACCTAACCTAACCTAACCTAGCTTTTTTTGGCTACCTAACCTAACCTTACCTATAAATATAGGTTAGGTTAGGTTAGGTAGGGTTGGTTAGGTTCGGTCATATATCTACGTTAATTTTACCTCCTATAAAAAAAAACTGACCTCATACATAGAGAAAAGGGTTGGTTTATCATTTCATAAGAAAAAAATTATAGTAAATATATTAATTCAGGAAAACTTGGCTTATTAGGCAAATCGGGCCTTGAATAGTAGGCTGAGAAGTGAGTTCTGGCTACTAGGTACGACATATATATATATATATATATATATATATATATATATATATATATATATATGTCGTACCTAATAGCCAGAACGCACTTATCGGCCTACTATGCAAGGCCCGATTTGCCTAATAAGCCAAGTTTTCGTGAATTAATATATTTTCTCTAATTTTTTTCTTATGAAATGATAAATCAAACCATTTCATTACGTATGAGGTCAATTTTTTTTTATTGGAGTTTAAATTAACGTAGATATATGACCAAACCTAACCAACCCTACCTAACCTAACCTAACCTATCTTTATAGGTTAGGTTAGGTCAGGTAGCGGAAAAAGTTAGGTTAGGTTAGGTTAGGTAGGTTAGGTAGTCGAAAAACAATTAATTCATGAAAACTTGGCTTATTAGGCAAATTGGGCCTTGCATAGTAGGCTGAGAAGTGAGTTCTGGCTACTAGGTACGACATATATATATATATATATATATATATATATATATATATATATATATATATATATATATATATATATATATATATATATATATATATATATATATATATATGTACCGTGACTCACGTTCACACTGACTCGTGTGCTCACAGCACAGAGAATGGATGACCTACCAGTATAGTATTTCAATTAAAATATATAAACAAAATATTGCGCTCGGAAAAGCTAAATTAACTCCATTTATTTTGCCATGAAATCAAATAGAATTTTGTTTTACGAAGACTGGAGGAAAGGAAAATGAAATAATCCACCTGAAAATAATATGAATAAAGAGACATTTACAACAGAAATAACTGATCGCTAAAATATTATGACAATTATTCAAGTGATTTCATTCAAAATCAAGTTATACATATCGTATATACATAGAGGAAGCATGGTATATTTCGAGGTATGTATACTCGATTTTTCTATCGTTTTTTTTAGTTTTGTAGAGTCTTTATGTATGATGACAGCTTTAAATTGGCATTTATAATTAATTAAAACTCACTAATTCATTATGATATGAAGATAGATAATTCAGAAAAACAATTAGTTTGAAGAAAACGAGAGTGGAGGAGCGGGGAAACAAAAGGGAGACTTAACAAAAGAGGAGAATCATATCCTGCTTAAGTTAAATCCTTTGCTGACCTAATTTTTCAGCTTGACATATCAATTCGCGATGATTCTCATATGTTTTCACGTCGAAAATACAACTGAACCTCAAAAGCCTTTTATGCAAATTGCACAAAATGACTGGCATATTGCGCTAACATTGCCTAGGCATTCATTGAAATGACAGCATTCATTGAATGAATGAATGCTAATAAGATACGACATCTTAATTCAATTAAACAAAAATTCAATGCTTTTGTCTACCCATAAACGTACGAACCCTTGCAACCTACCTAACGTGTCGAAGTCGATACATAGAAAACGTCAATATTGAGGTGCGTTAATTATTACAATCATTTACATTTACTTGTTTACATTTGTAGGGGATTACGCTGTAAATGCGCCGTGTTGAGTATGATGTGGAGAGCTCTTAATGGACCTCCACTACTCCTTCAACCATGACCAAGACTTGACACCTCAGAGTGCGACGAACCAGGAGTGGAACCAGGAGTGGAACCTGGAGTAGAACCAGGAGTGGAACCAGGAGTAGAACCAGGAGTGGAACCAGGAGTGGAACCTGGAGTAGAACCAGGAGTGGAACCTGGAGTGGAACCTGGAGAGGAACCAGGAGTGGAACCAGGAGTGGAACCAGGAGTGGGACCAGGAGTGCGTGGAACCAAGAGTAGAACCAAGAGTGCGTGGAACCAGACGTACGTCTTGGAACCAAAATCCCGCAAAACAATATATAAATGAAAAATATGAAGTTTGGAAATCACATTCTTAATAAAACAGAAAACTGGATAAAATGTTAACAATGACGTCTATAACAAATAGCGATAAAGATAAGAATAACGCTAAAAAACGCAATAACGACGAGGGAAACAGCAATCATAGAGGATTATTATATAATTTCTTTGGAAAACGGAAAACGGCGTTATTTTTTTAGGTGGGGCCTGGTTGATGGTGAAACTTTCCTCCTTCCGAATGATATGTGGGACTGAGGATACGAGCATGAGGTGGGACGAGTGGGGGGCGGGATTACCTAGTGGTAGGCATCCATCAGTCTCAGGAGACTATGGAGTTGCGCTCTGATTGTCGGTCTGGAGTGGCCTGTGTAGGTAGATATTGGGGAAGAAGCTGTTACCCATGCATCAGGTCCCCCCATCCTCTCTCCACATCGCCTACTTACCTGGTAGAATTCACCTGTCAGTGACTACGGTTCGAGTGAGGACTAGCTCTTCATGCCCCTTCATGTAATTATTATATTACAGTTTTAACTATTTTGACGTTCAAATTCTTTGTCGAATCTGGATTTAGAGTTGTGGATGGAGGTGGCTTCTACAACTTCTTCTTTCAGTGTACTTAACTGGTTAACTACCCGTACAGGGTATGAGTACTTTCTTACATTCCTTCAGCTCATTTGTGTTTCCAGCTTCCACCTGTATCATCTTGTGCTACTTTCTCTCAGTCTGAAGAGGCTATCCTTGTCCACCTTATCTATTTTCCTCAGTATCTTGTATGTTATGATCATATCCCTCTTCTGTTCCTTCTATCCTCTAGGGGTGTTAGATTTAGTTTTATTGGCTCATTCTAGAAGCTTAACTAGTTCTGACACTAATCTTGTTGCAAGAATTTGAACTTTAAAGATTTTTGCGAAATGATTCACAAGGTGAGGATTCCATTCCGATGCAGCGTATTTCAGTATTAGTGTAACAAATGTTGTGTAGAGTGTCTTGCAGAAGTCCTCATTTTCATTTCTAAAGGATGTTCTCATATCTGCCCACACCATCCTCTTATAAATTAGGTCGCTTTTCGCTCATATGCGCACTGAGGCCAAAAATGGTCGTAAGATAAAATGAAATCGGCTCACGAAATAGACGTACTGTCCCGTTTTCTGTTTTGGGTCTTCAGGCCTACTAGGTTAGGTGAGGAGAGGACATATTAAATTAACGGTTTTTATGACGTTTTGAAACCTTAGGAGAATTTCCTGCCCTCCTAACCTAGCAGAGGACCCTTAACTTGCTGCTCTTGGGTAAATTTCATTTGGAAAATTAATTTAAATTTTTTGTTATTTAAAATATGGCCATTTTTGGCCGTAGTGCATACGAGCGAAAAGCGACGTAAGTGTTAAGAGAACGGGTTAGGATGCTGCTATTTTTATTCTATGTGTGCCTTTGGGGTTTGTGTTAGAACGATAGATAACCCCAAATCGTTCTTTCGTTCCGATTCCTGTAGTTACCTTTCCCTTATGGTGTAGATAGTGTGGTCTCCTCTCTCTATCTACCTTTCACTTATTGGGATTGAATTCCAACAACCATTTTATGACCGCACTTGGAGTTTATCAAGGTCTTCATGTAACTTCCTGCAGTCATTCTCTATTTTTACATTCCCCGTGAGCTGGTGGTGGATGAGTAAAGGTACTGACCTATCAGTGACTATAAGGAAGTAAGGTTTAGCTCATAAGGACCCGCCTATTAGCCTTGTTGTAAGTGTTGTGGTGTAATTGAAATATTCTGACAGTCAAATTTTTTGCCGAATCTGGTCTTAAAGTTGTGGAGGAAAGTGGTTGTGCAAGTTGGAAAAGAGGAAGAGGAAGAGAATGAGGAGAAAGAGGAAGAGGAGGAGGAGGAAGAGGAGGAGGAGGAGGAGGAAGGGAAGATGGAGGAGATAATAATGCAGCAGGAAAAGGAAAAAGAATAGCAAAATAATAAAAATTATAATATCAAGAAAGGAAGCAGAAAGAGAAATTGAAGAAAAAGTATGATGGAAAGTGGCAAGAGTATTAGAAGAAGGGGAAAAAGGAAGGAAAAAAGAAGAAGAAGGCAGGAAGAAGGAGTTAGGACAAGGAAGAGGAACCGTCAAAGATAACAAGATAACAAACTAGAAAACCATACAAGAGGAGAATAAGACTAAGAAAGGAGACCGATAATAACCCTCACCCCACCATGTTGAATGTTTGCCATTCTTGTCCACACACTTAAATCCTGACAGTTATGGGGCTATCAACCCCCAACGTTAAAATTACGACGCTCTAGTGAAATCTAAACGAGCGCAATATTTACGCAACCTCGGCCACGCCATCCATCGTCCGACCTCCAGTGACTCGGTGCGGTCAAACGCTTCTGGCAAGGGAAAAAAACACTTAAAATTTGACGTTTGTCAAATCTTGACAACGTGCAAGGTATATTCCAATATTTACAAGGTATGCCATAGGTGTACCAAACAGGTAACTTTAGATACAAATGCGCACGGGATTATTCCTGTTATCCCATTAATTAACAGAATAGTACAACAGTACTGTTGTAAAAGAAGATTAACGGTGTTTAAACAGAAGGAAATAAATACTGACATATCAGAGTTGACAACAACGAACAAAAAACATAAAACTTTCTTCATTTAAAGACTTTCTAATTAATAAAGCAGATGAATTTTAGATGAATTTCTATGTTGAAGGAATGTTTACAACTTATACCACAATGAGTGGATATATCAATAAACTATAAACATTTACCATATGTTGAGTATAAATTATACCACATATGGTGGCTTAGACTACAGTAAGGTTAGTACTTCAAATGTTATGATAAACATAAGTTAGTATAAACATTAATTCTTATCTGAGTAGGTAGATATAGCCTGATTAGGCTGTGCGACTACATCAAATTAGGGTGTGGCACATGTAGTTTAGTTACTATGTACTAGGCTGGCACTCATGTGGCATCTGTGGAGCAGCAAGGGTAGGAAAGTGTTGACCAAACCACACACTAGAAAATGAAGGGACGACGACGTTTCGGTCCGTCCTGGACCATTCTCAAGTCGATTGTCCTGGACCATTCACAAACGACTTGAGAATGGTCCAGGACGGACCGAAAAGTCGTCGTCCCTTCATCTTCTAGTGTGTGGTTTGGTCAACATTTTTAACAATAGCAAGGGAACCTGTGGTGTTCCTACAGGTATAATGATCTAAGAGCCAGTTATAGTGAATACTATTTTATTAAGTGTTAACACTAGACTGTGGCTTTAAAGAATAATTGTGGGAGCTTAAATATTTATATATACACGTGATGCAAATACGAGTCTGTTGTGATGACGTTACGAAAACTCCTATTTCTTTAACTCTGGTAATGGCTAACTATAAAATGTTAACATGTGTGTCGGATTTCCGACAGACGTAGCTATTATAGTTCTGTTAGGGCGACTGTTAACAGAGTCATGGAGGGGGTAAACGCTGTGTAAATCCCCTCGAAAAGGGGGAATATCGTTATTGTATTTCTGTTGGTGAGTCTGTTAATGCAGTACTAACGTGCACTGATAGGTGGATATCGCTATAGTAGTTCCGTTAGCAACTCTACCAACGGAAAGAACTCAGCAAAGTACAGCTGAGCAAGTACGTACGCAGAATGAGGGATTTTGATGCAGCAGTATTTATGAGAATTTGTTTAGAATTTGACTGCATTAAGATTTTGATTGCTGTTATTTTGTCTTAATTTAGTGCCTTTGATGAAGCCTTATAAAGTATTATAACTTCTATACAAATGTTGTTTAAATTCAATTGTGAATGAACGACGATTTAAGACAAAAGAGTTTGATTTGATTTATAAGGCGGAATATTGGATACGTTATGGAATGTTGAATTTGAACAATAAAGTGTACTGAATGTTTTTTTTTTTTTTAAACTTACAGTTTATTAAATTTTTGTGTGAAATAATTAGGTTGTGAATAATCAAAGCTTCCTAAGACTTTGATTTGGGTTTCACTTATGTTATTTTGTTTTTGTTTTTGTTGAGTAAGAACAGTTGGATGAACAATTTTATGGGATTGTTGTATTATAGCATACATAGTGTTGCTTTTATTTGGAGTTCATTACACCAGTGAACGTGAATATTGCAGAGAGGGAGAGAGAGAGAGAGAGAGAGAGAGAGAGAGAGAGAGAGAAGAGAGAGAGAGAGGCTTTGTTCTGCAATATTTATTTTATTGAATAGTCTGTCATGTCAGCTGTTAAGCCAGCTGGGATGAATGGTTCGTGGTATTTCAACTTCATATTTTTTCATTGTGTTGATAGCATTCATGTTTTTACATTCTTGTAAAGCCTCTAACACGCATAGCGTTTCGGGCAGGTCCTTAATCTAACACATATTTATAAGTAGGATATACCTAGCAAAATTGAATTTTTTTAACATTTTTTTTTCTTTTAGGCAAGTATATGTGTGAATAAACGGCCCAAGTTCTCCCTGGTAATGCAATTGTTTGATGAAAAACGTAATCTGACCGTTTACCACTCAGGTGCCCTCGGGGGAGGGAAATGTTGCGGATAAACTCCGAAGTTTTGATCCGTTTTGTAGGGTCTGGGTGGTGTAGTGGTTAGTGTATCAGTTATGCTCAGGTGCGAGAACACCTGAGCTTTCTGAGTTCGAGTCACTTGCAGGGGTGGTTGCCTGATGTGTGTGTTTATCTTTCACTTGTGGTTTAGGCAAGTATATATATATATATATATATATATATATATATATATATATATATATATATATATATATATATATATAAATATATATATATATAATATATATATATATATATATATATATATATATATATATATATATATATATATATATATTTATATATATATATATATATATATATATATATATATATATATATATATATATATATATACTTGCCTATATATATATATATATATATATATATATATATATATATATATATATATATATATATATATATTATATATATATATATATATATATAATATATATATATATATATATATGTCGTACCTAGTAGCCAGAACTCACGTCTCAGCCTAATATTCAAGGGCTGATTTGCCTAATAAGCCAAGTTTTCCTGAATTAATATATTTACTATAATTTTTTTCTTATGAAATGATAAAGCAACCCTTTTCTCTATGTATGAGGTCAATTTTTTTTTATTGGAGTTAAAATTAACGTAGATATATGACCGAACCTAACCAACCCTACCTAACCTAACCTAACCTATATTTATTGGTAAGGTTAGGTTAGGTAGCCAAAAAAAGCTAGGTTAGGTTAGGTTAGGTAGGTTAGGTAGACGAAAAAAACATTAATTCATGAAAACTTGGCTTATTAGGCAAATCGGGCCTTGAATAGTAGGCTGAGAAGTGCGTTCTGGCTATTAGGTACGACATATATATAAATATATATATATATATATATATATATATATATATATATATATATATGCATATTTATATAAGGACGTATCTGTACCTTTTTTATTAAGGAGCATGGATGGGAGAGACTTCGTCGGACACAGAGTGGCCGCTTTGTTTCCTATATTGTTGATTTAATTTTCAATCACCTGAAACCTGAAGACATGGAAAAAAAAAACTTGATTTTTTTTTTTTTTTGTTCAAGTTACTTGTGTTCATTCGGCCATTAAATGATAATACTTTAAAGCTAGGAACTAATTATTTTCAAGTTGAAGGAAGACTTGAAAATAATTAGTTCCTATTTAGAAAATATCGATGAGATAAACATTGTCTATACTTAAATCCACTCTCCATATATCTTCCATCCACTGAAGAAAATTTCTAATCAACCATTTCAATGTCTCCAATTCATCTTGTCAAAATCTAAATACGTCTTTGTCCGAAGTCAAATAAAATAATATAATCAAGAAGTACGAAAGAGCAAAGCATACCAGAGCTGCCATCTTGAGACAGATGACACTAGACTAAGAAGTTAATAGGCTGGTGAGGGATGCTGGAACACGTCCGACCTCGACAAGAGTCAAGTGGAGACTGACTCAAAATGGCTTCTCTCCGTGAATTATATTTCAGCCTCGTGGGATCTTAAGAGTTGGGTTATATTTCAAAGTATATTTACCATATTCATTTTTTTTTAATGGGAAAGTTCATAAAATTATAGAATTTCTTCTGAACACAGCACCTCAGTCCCGTTCATTGTTTGTAGGAGTTAACTATACGTAGGAGTTTAACATAGGAGTTTACTATACATAAGAGTTTACTATATGTTGGAGTTTACTATTTGTAGGAGTTTACTATACGTAGGAGTTTACTATACGTAGGAGTAACTCTCATCAATAACTGAAGAAATTGTAATGAACCATATTTTCATAGGACCGTAAATGTCTTCAGCTCCCGGCCTCCGAACCTCTGAGGCTGCTCAAGTGATGAGATATTTACACGTCGAGTTTACTACTCGATTTAGTCCTAATTGCTCAAGAAATCAGAACTCTATTCATACAAACTTTACATCGTGCAAGATTTTTCTTGACGTCTTTTTTCTTTCGTTCTTGGTTGAATAGTTTTTTAACTGTGACTTATTCACTGGGTCCAGGTAGACGTGTTGTGGTGTTGATGCTGCTTTTGCTAGTGATGCTGCCTTTGCTAGTGATGCTACCTTTGCTAGTGATGCTGCCTTTGCTAGTGATGCTGCCTTTGCTAGTGATGCTGCCTTTGCTAGTGATGATGCCTTTGCTAGTGATGCTGCCTTTGCTAGTGATGCTGCCTTTGCTAGTGATGCTACCTTTGCTAGTGATGCTGCCTTTGCTAGTGATGCTACTTTTGCTAGTGATGCTGCCTTTGCTAGTGATGCTACCTTTGCTAGTGATGCTGCCTTTGCTAGTGATGCTGCCTTTGCTAGTGATGCTACTTTTGCTAGTGATGATGCCTTTGCTAGTGATGCTACCTTTGCTAGTGATGCTGCCTTTGCTTGTGATGCTGCCTTTGCTAGTGATGCTGCCTTTGCTAGTGATGCTGTCTTTGCTAGTGATGCTGCTAGCGTTGATGCCATGCTAGTGAATCTGCTGAGGTTGATGCTATTGGTGGTGGTGCTGCTCCTGCTGGTGCAGTGAGTCGACTGACACAAGCCCTGTAGTGCTTAGAAACACCTTTCATTTTGCTCTGTTAATTGGGCTACAATGCTATGATAAATAAATATAATCAATGCTGCAGCCATACAATGGGATCGAACCTCCATCCTTGGACTCCCCAAGGCATAAATTATAAATACATGAACTTTCCCAGGTATAAATGATAAATGCCTGGACTCCCATAGACACTTATCGAGTTATCAATGTCGAAATGAATCGTTTGCTAAGCAAACATCTTGTATATACTGACATATATGTGGACCATTTGTGCTCTTAATAAGACCAGGTTTGATGTGGTTATTCTGAAGACATTTAGCTTCAACTGACTCGTAATCCAACACTCTCCGCCCTTGTTACGAGTCAAACTCGATATCACTGGATGAAATAAAATTCAATCACCGTTTTCAGATCACAGATGTGTACCCTCAGGCCTCTGGAGGGACGTGGTGAACTTTGACCGGCTGTGAAGGTCAAAGTTCAACGTTAAGTTCAAAGTAAATTGGCTTCTTAATAGAGATAGAGAGAGAGAGACACACACACATGAGAGAATACATTTATGTTAGCGGTGCTCAAAGAACTCTTAGCCGTCTTATGGCAAATATTAAACAACCTGTGAGCATTTATGCCATATTAACCTGTGAACTGGACATATTTACCTGTGAACAGGACATATTTACCTGTGAACAGGATATATTTACCTGTCTATAAGATATATTTACCTGTGTACACGATATATTACTTATCTTAACACTAAAAGATATATTTTTCAGGATATATGTAATCAGTATTTACTTTAAATCTCGACTCTTTTAAGTACATATATATATATATATATATATATATATATATATATATATATATATATATATATATATATATATATATATATGTATATATATATATATATATATATATATATATATATATATATGTCGTACCTAATAGCCAGAACGCACTTCTCAGCCTACTATTCAAGGCCCGATTTGCCTAATAAGCCAAGTTTTCATGAATTAATGTTTTTTCGTCTACCTAACCTACCTAACCTAACCTAACCTAGCTTTTTTTGGCTACCTAACCTAACCTTACCTATAAATATAGGTTAGGTTAGGTTAGGTAGGGTTGGTTAGGTTCGGTCATATATCTACGTTAATTTTAACTCCAATAAAAAAAATTGACCTCATACATAGAGAAAAGGGTTGCTTTATCATTTCATAAGAAAAAAATTATAGTAATATATTAATTCAGGAAAACTTGGCTTATTAGGCAAATCGGGCCTTGAATAGTAGGCTGAAAGTGAGTTCTGGCTACTAGGTACGACATATATAAATATATATATATATATATATATATATATATAATATATATATATATATATATATATTTATTATTTATATATATATATATATATATATATATATATATATATATATATATATATATATATATATATATACATATTTCTAAATATATATATATATATATATATATATTTAGAATATATATAGATGATAACAAAGAATAGCCACTGAATTACACAAGTATTGCCACACAGATATAATCATAGCGAAATGAAGAACAGCTCCGAAGATATGAATTGAGGCTCGTTCTTGAGGTAAAGGGGGGCTTAAACTATGAGGAAACACAGAGAGAAAGATGAACCTTATTACATTAGGGAAAGAGGTGGAATAGCGAAACATAACACATAAGAGGTCATAGATCGAAACTAGACACAAATAAGTCAATGACGACAGAACAATGCTAAGCTTAGCACTGTTCAGAATAGTGCTCAGCAATCGCAACAGTGCTAAGCTTAGCATAGTTTTGTCAGTGCTAAGCTGTAAGCAGTAAGTGGGAACTGGCCAAGCGTCGAAGCTGCGGATCCTAATTAACCCGTCACAAGCTTTTATATATAAATATGATAAAAGTGCGAGAAAGGAGTCATTGATTATATCTAAGAACATTCGAAAGGCGGGGCTCAAGAACCTAGCTCGACCCTGCAAGCAAACCTAGGTTAACACAGACAAATCAACACAATAACACTAACAATAAAAACTAACGTAAATGAAGGTCATTGACCGATTTAATAATTGGATAACAAACTACGAAAAACATCAAAACAAATACAAAAGAACTATAAAACGCGAGATGTAAATAATAAAACATGTAAACAACTAAAAGGGTGTTTGTATTTACACGAAAATCCATGTTCTTTCAGAACTGCCAACAGCTGGCGCCCCAGGGCGATCGGAACTACCAGTAGGATGGCTATGAACGTGTTGGTACCCCTGCTGATACCTCTTGGCGAACAGCTGACGAACGGTGAGTGCCAGATGTTTCTTCCTGTAGTCCAGCTCCTACTTGACCCTTGACAGTGTTGGGGAAAGTATCATGATTCTTGACAGTGTTGGGGAAAGTGTCATGACTCTTGACAGTGTTGGGGAAAGTGCCACAACTCTCTGACTTGCCTCTGGTGTTTCAAGGACCTTGAGAAAGTGCTAGAGAAACAGAAAAACGTGTATATATATATGTATATATATATATATATATATATATCTATATATATATATATATATATATATATATATATATATATATATATATATAATATATATATATATATATAACAAAGTAATCATTCTTGCCATTAAGATGTTTTTTCTGGTGTTTAATACAACAATGAACAATTGTGTCATCGTTGTGTAGACGAAATGAGGACACTAGCGCAACGATACAGTAGGCACACTATTGTATCATAGTATTTTATCTGTGTAGGAACACTGCATAGTTAACATTCACGTCTGTCAATAAACAAACAAACAATTGTAATCAAGAATATGCGATTAGGTGTTATCTGTGAAATATATTTGAAATATATTCTAGCATGAGATTTATCATGAGTGAGAGAGAGAGAGAGAGAGAGAGAGAGAGAGAGAGAGAGAGAGAGAGAGAGAGAGAGAGAGAGAGAGAGAGAGAGAGAGAGAGAGAGAGAGAGAGAGTGAGAGTGAGAGAGAGAGAGAAGTAGAAGCAGTGTAAGAGAAAGAAAAAAAAAGGAGATGGAAAATAACGTGGCCAGTGATCCTCTTCCCCCTCTGGTCGCTTTCAACGTAAACGTTTATTGAGGCCGGTGACACTGTGTGTGTGTGTGAGTGTGTGTGTGTGTGTGTGTGTGTGTGTGTGTGTGTGTGTGTGTGTGTGTGTGTGTGTGTGTGTGTGTGTGTGTGTGTGTGTGTGTGTGTGTGTGTGTGTGTGTGTATTCACCTAGACACCTAGACTCACACTCCTCCCCCCCCACACACACACAGAGGCCGGTAGCTGAGCGAACAGCATGCTGGACGTATGGTCCCAGGTTCGATTCCGGCCGCCAGCGAGAGACAATGGGCAGAGTTTCTTTCACCATAATGCTCCTGTTACCTAGCAGTAAATAGGTACCTGGGAGTTAGTCAGCTGTCACGGGCAGCTTCCTGGGGTGTGTGTGTGTGTGTGGTGTGGAAAAAAAGTAGTAGTTAGTAACAGTTGAGAGGCGGGCCGAAAGAGTAGAGCTCAACCACCGCAAGCATAACTAGGTGAATACTACCAGGTGAATACACACACACTAACTTAAGAACATAAGTGGTTGGCCAACATAAGAACGGCATTTAGACACTTGTGTAAGGAATCATTCAGAACTTTGAATACCACATATGTCAGACCAATCCTGGAGTATGCAACTCCAGCAAAGAGTCCATATCAAGTCAAGCATAAGACTAAACTGGAAAATGTTCAAAGGTTTGCCACCAGACTAGTACCCGGGCTGAGAGGTATGACCTACGAGGAGAAACTACGGGAATTAAACCGCACGTCGCTAGAAGACAGAAGAGTTAGGGGGGACATGATCACCACGTACAAGATTCTCAGAGGAATTGACAGGGTAGATAAAGACAGGCTATTTAATACAAGGAGCACACGCACTAGGAGACATAGGTGGAAACTAAGTGCCCAAATGAGCCACAGAGATATTAGGAAGAATTTTTTTAATGTCAAAGTGGATGACAAATGGAATGCATTAGGCAGTGATGTGGTGAAGGCTGACATACACAGTTTCAAGTGCAGATATGATAGCGCCCAGTAGGCTTAGGAACCTGTACACCAGTTGCTTGACAGTTGAGAGGCGTGACCAAAGAGCCAGAGCTCAACCCCCGCAAGCACAAATAGGTGAGTATACACAGGAAGCAGCCCGTAACATCTGTCTAACTCCCAGGTACCTATTTTCTGCTAGGTAACAAGGGCATCAGGGTGAAAAAACTATGCCCATTTTGTTTCTGCCATCACTGGGGATCCAACCCGGACCCTAGGATTACGAGCCCAGAGCGCTGTCCAATCAGCTATCAGGCCCCCCTGGCATGCAAGGTTTTGAAAAATTTCTTACAAAGGTTTTCGAAGGGAGTTCTGATATTAGCCACCCTTGCATATGCCGATGATGTTATTCTTTTGATGTGGGCTTCAGGAGACAGTTTTGGCGTCATAGTAACTCCTCGATCTTTCTCTATGTCCGTTTTATGGAGGGTTGTGTCTCCCATTTGGTACCAGCTGTGTCTGGCCTCCTGTTCCCTCCGCCTGTGTATTCACCTAGTTGTATTCACCTAGTTGTGCTTGCGGGGATTGAGCTCTGCTCTTTCGGCCCACCTCTCAACTGTCAATCAACTTTTTTCTTTCACACACACACACACACACACACACACACACACACACACACACACACACACACACACACACACACACACACACACACACACACACACACACACACACACACACAGAGGAAGAAGCCTGTAGGTGCGGCTTCCCAAAAGTGGGGGGGTTGTGAGAATAGGAGGCTTGGAGGGATAAGGGAGGCGTGTGTGTGTGTGTGCGTGCGTGTGCGTGTGTGTTTGTGTGTGTGTGT